ACTCCACTGCTGAAGCTGGAAGAGCTCCGACAAAGATTTTCTTTGGATTCACATCCCATTCGGCGTTCGTGTTGTACCTAATTTGAGGAATCGACAATTAAATTGCTACTACTTTAAAGTCAGTACCGTTGTTATTTACAAAGTCAAAAAGATAGTAACTGCACTACAGACTTCACAAAGCGACTGCGTAAGCGTGCAGAAGGGCTGCTTAAACTACAGTTATATTATTTTATACCAGAAAATGTCACAGCGAGCGAGATGTTCGGTGGGCTACAAAGATCTTTTCGAGGAGCAAGTGGCTTCTGAGTACACGGAAATAGTGTTGTATAGGGGTAGAAGGTATTGCCCCTGAGGACTCAACAAAAAACGGGGCGATATTAAAATGCAAATAGAATGTAACTTTAAGGCAGTGAGTCAAATATCCACTGTGAGGAGAGAATATTTCTGCAAAGGATGAATCACGGCACAAACCAATGTAGAGAATCAATGGCAACTTTAATTAAAAGATACGATTATTATCTGTGGTTCAGCAATGCTTTCCTGAGAGTTTGATCGTTAAATTTGGAGTTAATAGATGTCACGAAATGCATATTGCTTCTGTTATGATTGTTATGGGAACATCCGTGGGAATTCCGGTCTAGTAGCCCACACCTGAAATGTATGTATATTTGAAATAAGGACTTTCTTATTGGAATACAGGTAAATTTATTCGGAAGAGTAGTTGACCAGCATACGTAGATTTTCGATAAATTCTCATCGAGCCATTACATTCATATGAGGAGGGGCTAAAATAGAGAAGTTTAATTGCGGGCAATTACGTTCATCAGTACAGGCAATTCAGTAATGGGAACAAGGGAGGGGTTGGAAAGGGGGTTTGTTAATATTCGGCACCTTATGCGGCAAATAGGGTCCGTTGAAGCTGAACCAGGGAGAGGGTGGAAGGGAGAGAGAAAGCGTGGAACGATGCCATCCGGATATATTAAACTGCGTCCAAAAGGGCAGGTGAAGTCTATTCTGGACAAGCAGCTGTGGTCTGTAGCGTTCAGATTAGGGAAGAGAAGTGTGGGTCAATGTGGAATCATATCACTTAGTTGATACGCATCTCACATCCTAGTTAAGTTGGTGGAGTTAACTACGTACAAATAAAAGTATGGATATTGCATATTTGCGCAATCCATTTCTAATCCCAATCGACCTTAAAATTATCTCCTGGCCTAAAAGGTAAACCGCACTCATAGAGTGGTTTTGTAACCACTAATCGACATTCCGTTGCTAATTTGTAATGGCTTAATACAAAATTTGTCTTTGTATTCTGCGTGGAATATGCTTGAGTAATGTATGTATGATTGGCATTAACTCCTATATCTATATCATGCCTTCTATTTCGGCAGCCGTTGTTTTGCATACCTATATACTTCCGTTAACTGCACCTTAAGTGATGAAAACTCGACTTCCTCGAAACCAAGAAAACCGACCGAACTCTTCGTAAATGCTGTAAAAGCGGAGATCACGGCTAATACATTGCGTAAACACTTTGCAAAATTCGAAAGGGTTCCCAATGTGAATATGTCCATAAATCCGTCAACCAACAACCATTGTGGCAATGGATACATTAAACTGCGTCCAAAAGGGCAGGTGAAATCTATTCTGGACAGGGAGCATGCGGCCCGTGGTGTGCGAATTAATGTTGATGTGTGCAACTTAAGTCAGTAATCGACGTAAGACGACTCGCTATCATAACTTTTGCTCAAAACTTTTCTTCACTTCTGCTCAAATCACTACTCAGATAAGACTTTATTCGTATGTGAAGGGAAACAGATGTGCCCATTATGACAAGAACTCTATCTTCTTGCCATATAAATGTGACGGCCCCAGGAGACTTTATCGAGAGCTTACGTAGGCTCGCCAAATACTCTTCTGAATTGTCCGATGGGATTTTTTGCAATTTAAAGACAGTCCAACGATCCCGCGGTGTTAAAAGCACTCATTGGGTACCAACGGTTTAACACAAAACTTCCAGATGCAAAAAGTCTGACTAGCTTTACTTAGGAGCTGTGTAGAGAGAAGCGAATACCCGGACGAATATTCGAGAGCACAACAACATAGCCATACATTAATCAGCACCAAAAACTTTAATTGATACGCCGAGAACCAATTTGAAAGCACTTCCGTACAGACGAATGAAGTTGAGCGTCACGTGTGCTAACGCGCTGCCGTTCTGGACACCATGGCAGTGGTGCAGAAATGAGAATTCAGCAGCTTCAGTCGAACCACAGGAAGAAGACGTGACGAAGTTAATAGATTGTCATCTTTAAAGAGTGTACGACACCAAACCACAGTCAGGATTCCCAAAAGATCCAAAGTGGTACGTACACAAGTATTCCTCTCCGACACTTGATGCAACTTTACTTGAAGCGTTATTCCTGGGTCGAAAATGTTGCATGCTTGGTCTAAAGGTTAATCAGTTAGAGTAAGAAACGCAGTTCGAGAATTACTATAATCGTAGGGATAGTCTGCCAGCTCAGCCCTCTTTTGTGTGAACCTTCTCATTTACTGGCTCCTATAGAGTAGGCTTTATTGATCGCAC